AATTCGCTAATACGATGGGGCTTCACAAACATAATATTTTCTTGAAGTCCGTCTGCAGATCAGTGCACGAAAGATATGCCAAATCTAATGAAATTTGGGGATTACGCACCATATTTTCCAGTTCAAATCGAAGTGCCACAGTTCAGTCGGCTGAGACATGTCGCGATTTGCTAACAGTAGCGCCAATACAGTGTTCTGGCATGATAAAGACCTAGCTTGCGACATATAAGACTATTGTGTATGATGCACCGCTTACCGGATGCACTTCGCCTTACTCTCTTCCCTCGCCCCTTCCCACTTTGATAGGTGACTGCTGAATACGAAGAAAAATGAATAAATTAGAAGTTGAACTTCTGTTTAGGCAAAGCAGGAACACACGTCGAATATTTGTAGTATCTTGTGAGTAATTTTTTATTCACAAAAAAATCAAAAGGCACAAAATATGAGTCAAAAGCTTCCGTCACTATTAAAAACTAATTCGATGAATGTGAACGGATAAGCTGAATAGACTGATGATGTGTCAAAGAGATTGGGCCTTACCGGTAGAATACAGCTTCATGCCTTCGTTACGTTTCAGTAGAATTGTTTTCTTTAATTTAATCTTTTTTGAAAAATGACCCACCGACAAACATATGGCTTACATACGACCATCATCCATGGAAATGTCAAAAAAATTAAGAGAATCAGTACAAAGAAAATCATTTCATCTTGGCATGTGACATATTTTGTCCTCATTTACCCATATCTTACTAAAAAGTGAAGTTGCGATCCGCCTTTGAAACATAAATACATAAAACGAACAATCACCATCGTCCTCCTACCTTTTGCTGATATCGCAAAGACTTACTACAGAAAGCCCAGGAAGGCTGTTTTGTGGCACGTGAAAAAGAACTGGTTCTGGAACGGCATGTGAGTCACACTCAATACACTAACGGTAGAATGACTACGATAATGATAAGTATGTGTTGTGAAACAGGAGATTACTGTCTTCGGCTGTGGCCCATAAAGAACCAGAAGTGAGCTAATTTTTTGTTTTTATGTCAAAGAACACAGTCATTAAGGTCTTACGACATGCAGATTTGTAATGCAGCTCTGTAGAAGATCTGATGTGATGCTAAATGAAATAGGAATTGTTGAGAAAAGTTTTTTAGCAGGCTAGCTGAGTAGCGATAAGGACAAGACGGAGTTCTTGAGTGACTGCTTGAAGAAATGTTACAGAAGAATCACCCATGAATCAGGGAAAATCGATGGCTCTGTGACCTTCTATCCAGCATCTAGCGTTCGAATATCTTGGTCCTGACGCAAGAGCAGCGAAACAATCAACGAATTAGACAAAGGCGTGGTTCTGGTGGAAGAGGCAACTGGTGTACTCTGTGATAAGGAAATGTTGATTATATTAAAGGAAAATATCTGTGGCATATTATTGCGTTGTACAGTACTGAATGCCGGACCACATTCAATAGACAGATGTTAGCAACAGCTGATTTCATGGAAACGTAAATGCTCAAATGCGTATGCAGTGCCGTCAGAAAAGTCGTCATTTGAGACATGTTTACATGGAATCGCAAGGGCGATAAAGCTTGTGAACATGCACCAATTGTTCGACTGCGTAATAGAAGAAATAATCGTCACATGCAGCGCGATCCAGATACACTGATAATTTCAGGTAGGGGAGGAAGAAGAACAAAGGAAACGTAGTAGGATATGATAAAGAGCGACACAAGCTGCAATTTGTGACCAGAAATTGAAGAATCTGGTTAATTCGAAATCATTTCGAGCAGCATACCTGTTTTAAAGAAACCGACCAGAAGAAATATAGTAAGCAAGAAATGTTTCTTGGAATGCTACAGTGTGGTAGCTCACCGGATAGTGGAATTGCGGGATTATTTTCTGTCTCTAGAAACCTGTTTCTCTAAATGCTGATAATCTTCATGTCTATCCAATGAACTGCACGTTTCTTCTCATCCACCGAGTTCAGAATACCATCTTTTCGCACGGCTAGTTTCGATGCTCAGTAATTAAGATTGACTTATGTGACGACAACAGTTGTGTTACTTTAGAATTTTAGGGGAAAAACCGCTTTGCATTACATATTACGTTGTCCGTAATCGTTGCACAGACGAGGAATAGGTTTCTACCGACATTTCATGAATATTCGTAATCGTTATTGCTTGTGACGTTACCGTAAGTAGTCACATATTTTACCATAGCTTTGAAGCTGGGCATTGGTTTCTCTGTTAAGCAAGGTTGTTGTGTAGATTTATGAATCGGAACGCAGTGAAGTTTATTCGTGTCGCCATATTAATGTCCAGAATGATAAACCGTCCACTCCGTTCCCGCATGAACGATTTGCCGGTCTGAACTGTGACATCCATGAATAACCTACAAATAAGACAGATGTGGATTACCGTTTCAAGTTTTACATTAGTTGTAAATGCATTGATTCGATTTGTGATGGCACAAAGGGTGGTTGTGAATGACTTATTGACGTTTTTCTTCGCTTAGCTTAACGCTTCAAATATAAGTATG